GGTGAGGCGCAGGTGAGGCCCGCAGGGCACGAGCTTCCGGCCCGGCCTGCGCGCCGCTGCCCGGGAAGGACCGAGGCCGGGCCGACCTCCGGGGCCCGCCTGCCCGGCGCCCGGCCGAGCTTCCGGGAGGGTCCCAGGGTTCCCGCCCCAGGCCCCATCCACGGACCCCGAAAATGCGCCGGGGGTCCCCTTCCCCGCAGGAGGGGGCTGCATGGACCCGGCCGTGATCGGGCTGCTCCGGGCGGCACGACCCTGCTGCGGGCAGAGCCCCCGCCCCCCCAGACTTGTCGGGAGGCCGGGGTGAGAGGTCAGGGCGGCGTCAGCCATGAGGGTCCCACCTGGCGCCGTTCTGCGGGTCGCCAGAATCGCACTGCAGCTTTCGGCGCCGGAAGCCTTTCTGCCGCGGATAACCCGGCCGGTGGAGGGATGGACAGTCCGGTAGCTCCTCCCGCCCAGGTAGGCAGAGACACCCCCCGCCCTGCGCCCCACTGGACCTCACCTGGAGGAACAGCCCCTCTGCGAGGTGAGGCCCGGCAGCTGGGGCCCCTTCGTGCAGGCAGCCTGATGGGTGGGAGGATGAAGTTTAAAGTTGTTCCATCACTGCGGGAGGTGGGTGTCGCCGAGCCCTGCACGCCGGCACCACGCAGTGCTGGGGGTGTGGGCGCTCCATGTCTCCGGTTCCAGTGCTGGGGTGCAGGCGGGGAGAGCCAGCCGCCGCTGCCCCTCTCTCCTAACTCCAGGCACAGTTAAACAGAGTTTTCCAGAATGATTCATCCGGTGGAGTTGATGGCTTTAAAAGCCACTGGCTGCCCCGGGAGACTCCATTTCTGGTTTTTAACTTTTCAGTCTTGCACGAGGTGGTCTGACCACTCACAAGACCCCACTAGTAGGCCACTCCGGGCCTGCAGACACTTCAGAAACCCCGTAAATAGGGAGTAAGGGGACAAGAGTGTTTCTCCAAATGGAAGCCCCGTCTCAGGTTTGTTGCCCGCCTCCCCCAGGTTGCTATCAAGTCGGTCACTACCGGAAACATCTCGATGTGTGTCAGATGGTGCCTCATAGGGGTTTTAGTGATTGGTGCTCTGGAAAGGGATTGCCAGGCCTTTCTTCCTAAGCTCCGATGAGTGGATTCTAAGCTCCAGCCTTTGGGCTGGCAGTTGAGTGTATTTATTATTTGTTTAGTGGGCCTCTTCCCAATTTTAATCTCTAGTGAAACTCCTAGGAGTTTTGGTAACCCAGTGGTAAGTAGCTGCACGGCCAACCTAAAGTGACCTGGTTTAAATCCATAGCCGCTCCACAGGAAAAAGATGTTTCTTCTGGGTGAAAACCCACCGGAGTGTCAGCTGTAAGTTGGTTCCGACCCAACGGCACCCAGCAGCAACAACAAGACCCTCTGTAGTCCAGACCGTCTTTTCCCGTGCTGCTTCTGACACGGTGCTCTTGCCTGCCGGAAGTGTGTGTGTGGTGGCGTGATGCTGGAATATCATATACCAGCAGGGTCACCCGTGGTGGAAAGGTTCCAATGGAGCTTCCAGGCTAAGCCTAGAAAGAAGGACCTGTCCTTCTATTGCCAAAGAAATGGTCAGTGGAAACTTTGTAGATAGGCGGGAGACATTGCCTGCCTCCATGCTGGGTGATGGGCAGAGCTGAGGCTGTGCGGGTGGCACAGGCCGGGCAGCCTTAACGCTGGGTCTCTGCAGGGTCACTATGCATTGGAGCTGACTCACCTTGAGGGCACCTAGCAACCCCCACACAGCTGCTGCTGAAGAGGGTAAAAGTCGAGATTTCCAGGATGACCGCAGGGTCTCATGGCGGCGGGGCCTGCAGTTTCTTTAACCACATGGAGGCCCCCTCTGGCCAGTGCATGAGACCCCCCCAGGCCAGAGAGATCCTCCAGAGTGTTGGCTGGGTGCACCGTGGGGTGCCGTTTCCAGAAGGGACAGAACACCCCCTCCCCAGTCACTGTCCTGCGCCCTACAGTAGTAACAGGCTCTGGGCAGTTTCAGGAATGATGGGAAGTGAGTTGTGTTTGTGTGTCTTTGCTTGTCTCCTAAAGGTTTCCAGAATTTCACTTTGGCCCTGAAATGAAGAATACTCTGTTCTTCCTCTAAAAGAACTCTGTGGGTGTGGTGCAGTAAGGTATTTGGCTGCCGACTGAAAGGTCTGCAGTTTGAATCCATGAGCTGCGTGCAGGGCAGAAGATAGACAGCCCCGCCTGCATACATCTGCTGTCTGGGAGTCCTCAGGGCAGCTCAGATCAGAACCGAGTTGATGGCAGGGAGTTTGGATTTTTGTTGTCCTTAAAATGATGTCATAACTAATCATTGAATTAGATAAGGCTGCTTTCAATTGAGGTGATCAGAAGCCTGTAAGAAGGCAGCCCGCGTGTGCTGCGTCTTCGCTGCCCTGCAGGCCGCACTGCTCACACTGTGCCTCTCTCTCTTCCCAGGATGTGACGCCGGCTCCGGCAGGACCGTGAAGGATCCGCCTCGTCACCCCGCTAGGATGTTCCTCATGAACGCCACGCCTGTGGTCGCTCTGCAGTCCAAGTGGGAGACCTTCGGCCCCTCCGGAAGCTTTAGGTTTCCTGGTGGCTTCTCGGAGCCCACTGAGGGCGCGGCAAGGGCAGCGGTCAGCACCAAGGTGCAGATGGTCGTCAGCACGCTGCGGGGTGACGGGGCCGCCTTGGGCATGAGCGATGCGCACGCCGTCCAGAGCCGCCACCGCGGGGAGCGATGCCGCGATGCCACGCAGACCGCTAACCTGCTCTTGCCTCAGGATCCGCCCGTCTTCCCGGCCTACGCCTTGGCTGCTGAACCCAACCCTTCCGAAGAGCCAAAGGCCGCAGACTCGGGCCCCCTGGCGCTGGACTCGGACAGCGACGACTCCGTGGACCGTGACATCGAGAAGGCCATCCAGGAGTACCTGAAGGCCAAGAGTGGGGCTGCGGAAGGAGGCGGCCGGTGCAGGCCGGAGCCCCCCCAGAACAGCACTGCGGACACGCTCTGCACCCCCAGACCCAGAGCTGCCTCCCCAGGCATGAGTGCCGCCCAGCTGGGTCCCGCCTCCCCCGGGAGTGTCAGCAGTGATGACTCTTTTGAGCAGAGCATCCGGGCAGAAATAGAGCAGTTTCTCAGCGAGAAGAAGCAGCATGAGATTCAGAAGTGGGGTGTCCCTGTGGACCCGCAGCCTGATGCCACTGAGCTCACAGCGAGTCTGGTAGCTCCCGCGGGCAGAGAGCCAACGGGGAGGGCATTGCACCAGGATGCACCGGGAGTCAGCAAAGAGTTCATCTTCCAAAAGCAGAGGTCGGGCACGCAGCCCCGAGTCCTCAAGGCCAGAGTTGCCACTGAGGCTGGAGCTCCCAGGTCAGACACGGTTCCGAACAGACCGGCTGCCAGGAGGGGTGCAGGCACGGGGCGGAGGGCGAAGCGTGCCCAGAGTGCCGCCCTGGCGCCTGTGGGGTCGGACTCCAGCAGCGACGACGGCATTGAAGAGGCCATTCAGCTTTACCAGCTGGAGAAAACCCGGAAGGAGGCCAGTGGGGACGCAGCACCGAGGGGCCAGGCCCTAGAGGACACGGGCCATGATCCCTCCCCCAGCACCACCACCAGAAGTGCCTTGCCAGAGACCCAGCGCAAAATCCCAAGCAAAAAGAAGCCTGGCGCCGCACAGGCCACCGAGGCCAGTCCCAGTGCTCTCCCCCTCGACTCTGGCCATCCCAGCAGGCCCCCCAGGGAGACCAAAGCCCCTCCGACCCCAGGCATCACGCCCCCCAAGAGCGAGCAGGTGGAGCGGCCCTCATGCCGGGCAGACTCGTCCGCCGAGCTCATGTGTGCCGAGGCCATCCTGGACATCTCCAAGACCATTCTGCCGTCCCCTACGGCGTCGCCTGGCCGGCCCTTGCATGCCGGCCCACTCCTCTACACCCCCAGCGTGCCTTCCCGCTCCGATGGTGACAGCAGCACAGTGGACAGTGATGACAGCATTGAACAGGAGATCCGGACGTTCTTGGCTCTGAAGGCCCAGTCGGGGAGCTTGTTGGCCCAAGCTGAAAGCTGCCCACCACCTGTATGGAGTCCACAGTCGTCACCTGCACCCAGCGGCCAGGCCGGGGGCCCCATGACCACACCACTTAAGACACCGGACCTGCCCTTGAGCTGCAGGAGGAAACGCAAAGGCAGAGGCAACACGGCAAAGCTGTCGGCACTGAAGAAAAATAAGGAGGGTGGCCGAGATGCTGGCCTCAGCCTCGGGAGCAGCCAACCTGGCCACGAGGGGCAGGACACGCCAAGCCAAGCCAGGGCTGTGGAGCCTGAGGCCAGGAGCCAGCCTTTCCCCGCACTGGTGGCCAGGCCCAGCGACCAGTTAGTGGCCTCTGACGGAGGAGGCCAGCCCTTGCAAAGCCAAGACAAGGCGGACGAGGCCAGGGTGGGGGACGAGAAGGGAAGCTCCGACGACAAGAGCAGCTCACTGGACAGCGATGAGGACCTGGATACGGCCATCAAAGACCTGCTCAGATCCAAGCGCAAGCTGAAAAGGAGGTACAGAGAGCCCCGCACTGCCACGTGGAAGAAGAGGGTGCGTTTCAGCACCGGTGAGGTGCAGAATCCAGAGACGCCCAGCCGCTGCCACAGGGACTGGAGTGACAGAGGTCCTGGCCTGCTGAAAAGCTGCCTCTCAAAATCCAAAAAGGACAGCAGGGAGGTCGGGGCTCGGAGCCCGGGGGCTGTACTGGGCTGCGGGGTAGAGAGAACTCGGATAGACACGGCGGCCAGTGGGGACACGGCCCTGGCTCTGCGGCTGCACAGAAGGGCCCCAGAGGGCAGTTTGTTCTCTGGCGGAGTCCAGGCCCAGCCGAGCTCCACCTCCAGCCCCGTCTCCATGTCTGAGGACAGCAACTCGGTGGACAGTGATGACAGCATCGAGCTGGAGATTCGTAAATTCCTGGCTGAGAAGGCCAAGGAGTCCAGGAACTGTGGGGACAATCCCAGTGCCAGCCCCCTTGCTCTCGGGGCGGGGGACCTCCCCAGGCCAGAGGCACTGGGTAGAAAGGAGACGGCACCAGCTACCCCACCTGCCCCACCTGGCACGTGCCCGTGGAGTCAGAGGGGCCGGGAATCCTCCCAGCTGGCTGAGGGGCTTAGGGGCGCAGAGAGAGTCCCTGGGGTGCAGAGCCCAGCCAGGGTCTTTGGCCAGGGACTCCCAGCTGCCCCAGCTAAATGTGAGCTGGTGCCACCCAGGAGTGCCAGCGGGGCCTTCTCTTCCAGAGGGTCCCCGGGGAGCCGGAGACACACTCACAGTGGCAAAGACCACAGTCAGAGTGGGACGGAGCCTGCTGCCAACGAGCATGCTTTCGGACAGCTGCTGGGGGGTTCCAGAGCCAGCACGGAGGCCGAGAGCACAGGCCCCTTCCAGGGCAGCCCTCCAAGCCTCGGCTTGCTGACCCCAAACCCCAGGTCGGAGCGGGAGAGCCACTCGCTCCTGAGCGGCCCCTGGAGTGACTTTGCCCAGCAAAGCAGGCTGCCGAGCACATGGGCACTGCACCCTGACAGCACGTGGAAGGGGGGCCTCCGGGCCGACAGCAGCAGCCCAGAGGGGCCGGCCAAGTGTCCATCTGGCCTGGCTGTGGACCCCCCCAGGAGCCTGCCCTTCTCAGGCTTTGCCCCACTGCTGTCCACTCAGCTGCTTCATTTTGGGAAGGGGGTGTCATGGGGCGGCAAGCAAACCAACCTCTTCAGCTCCCACCTGGGCCTTCCACTGCAGGGTCCCTCCTTCTCGACCTTCCGTGAGGCTCCGCTGGGCCCCAGCCCTGTGTTTGGGAGCCCCCACCTGCTGGTTGGGAAGGAAAGGGGTCACTGGCCAAGCAGGAAGTCCCCGGCTGGCCCCAGGCTACCAGACAGGAGGACCTCGGGGTCGGAGGAGCACATTCTAGACCTGAGGTACAGGCGCCAGGTTGTGGAGAGAGATGAGGAGGACCAAGAGACCCTGGGCAGTGATGCCAGTGAGCTCAGCGACACCTCTGTGGAGGACAGTGGGGGCAGGCCAAAGGGCAGTGTGCTCCAGTTGTGAGCACAGTGGGGCCTGTCGGGTGTGTCTGCGTGTCTCCACGCCCTTGTCCCCAGGATCTGCAGGAGAGGCCCGTCCCCAGGTGTGCACACCTGGATCTGTGCTTTTATTTAACAGGTGTGTCCTGACGAGGGTGGGCTTTTGTAGTTTTTGTAAATTATTTAAAGTGCTGTACCAGATATTTTTGGTAAACAATAGCAGTCTGGTTTTTGTTGGGTGCCCTGTCTGGACAGATCTCCCATCACTGGTCCCCACGTCATCTCTGGGCTGGGGACAGCCTCTCCCAGGGGTCCTCCCCACCCCAGGCCACTTGAGGGCTCTGCTGGTTGCTCACAGGACAGCCCCTCTGTGTCCTCTGAAAATCAGAGCTGTGGATGGCAGCGTGTCTCAAAGCACAAAGCCCTCACGAGGACACAGGGCGCCCCACTGCCCAGAGAAGCCCCATCACGTTCTCAGCCCTCCTGGGACGCTCAGCGGCCGTGCTCGTGACTCCCGTACTACAGGTGTTAGTATTACAGGTGTGACTACAGCACGGGCTCCTGTCCTGTCCAGTTATTTGGTGGTTACACTTCATGGTCCAAATAAAAGGCTTTTTCTATGGGAACAGCGGCTTCTCCTTTCTGAGCATGCTCTTGGGGTGCATTTTAAATTTCCTCTCCTTGGTTCCTGCAGCCGACTGGGCACTGAGGGTTACCTGACCTGTTCTGTCCTCAGGCATTTGAGTTCATGATGTTCTGAGCCCAGCCCTCTGGCCAAGGCCTCCCCACGCCCCCAAGAACCTAAGAGTCCCGGCAGGGGTGCCCCTGGGTGACTGCAGCACTGTGGCTTTGGGGTCAGCTCTGTGCTGTGACATCAGACACACAGTTTCTGAGCCCCACTACATGCTGCGCTTGGTCCTCTCCTGGAGCTTGGACTGGGCACTGGGTGTTGAAGGAGGGGGCCGCTGGGCAGAGTAGAAGAAACCCAGCAGCCTGTGGCTTCTCTGGGGCCCAGACAGTGGCTGCGTCTGCTCTGTGGATGAGACGGCACACAGTGCTGGGATCTAACACTGACCCTGGGCTGGTCCCGGAAATGTCCACTGCCTGCTGGAGCCTGGCAGCCCAGAGTTGTCCTTTCATGGGGGGGCTTGCGGCGTCCTGGCCCACGGTCGCCTTGCTGTGTGCCCTTCGCCGGGCCGCAGCAGGCATCCGTCCTGTGTCCAGGTACAGGCAGCGTGAGCTCAGTCACACAGCTGGGTCTTGTGGCTCCTGTTAGTGTCCCCATCACATACCCAGTCACTCAAGTGCTTCCAGGAAAAACAACTCTGTGTGGCCCCTGCTGTAGATTTTATTTCATTTTTTAAAGAGTCCTTTTCACGCACCAGCGCAAAACCCAGCCTGTTTTGTATGTAGGGACTGTCTTGTTTTTTTTCAATATACCAATAAACCAAGCACTGCTCATGAACAGGACTGAGGTGTGCCCTCTGCATCCCGTGTGGCCTCAGAGCCAGGCGGCCCCTGTGCACCTGCACCCACGTGAAGGGACAGCCCTGTGTTGGTGCTGCCGTGCATAGCTCCCCCTGCTCGTCCCAGGGGCCCGCACACCTTCCCTCTCTGCCTTACTCCACTGTCCTGCCCCTACATAGGGTCCCCCAAGGATACCTCCCCAAAGTCAGCTGCCTACGGCCAGCCACCTGTCCAGCATGTGCCTGCTGCCCATGCATGTGCAGGTCAGTGCTCCCGACAGGTCACCTGTGTAAGGTAGCTGCCTGCCGGTGTCAGGTCACCTGTGTCACTCACTGGCTATGGAGAGGGACGCTGTGCCCTGTGTTCCCACCACAGGAGACGTTGTGTTCTCTCTGTCTCACTCTGTGGGTGCCCATGTCTCGGGTAGGGGGAGCACTGAGACTGCCCATGTGTCCCAGGTTCATAGGTGCACCTCAGAGGCCAGCTCTGTGCTCCCGAGGAGCGAGTGGATTGTCTGTAGTGACCAGCTGACCCTTTGATGAGCTTGAGGCTGGAGCCCTGTGCCTGGGACCCTTTGAGGTGTCTCAGCCTGTGATCAAACAGGTGGTCACTGGGGCGAAAGGTGGGAATATGGAGAACGGCATCCTTTCTGAGCAGGGGGTTCCTGGCTTCAATCAGCCCAGCAGCTGCCTTAAAGCCACTGCCTGTCGGTGCCTGTCGGGTCAATATTGCCTCAGAGTGACTCCTCCTGTGTCATTTACTGCCTCTGAGAGCCCACTGGAAGGTAGGCTATGTGTTGAGTGGTATCCACTTAACAAAATATATATACACACGGAGCTCTGGTGGCCCAGTGGTAAGAAGCTGCCTGTCAACCAGAAAGCACGTGGTTCAAATCCACTAGCTGCTCCATGGGAGAAAAATGAGCAGTTTCCTCTCGTGCAATTTACGGTCTCGGAAATACAATGGTGGATCACCTACGAGTCTGTTCTGACTTGATGGCAGTGACTCAAAATGACATACAGTTTTATTTTTCAAATTTTGACTTGGAATAAGCAGGCCAAGTAAGGCTGAGACCTAGTTGTGACTCCAGAGGAAAGCTGTCAAGAATTGCTGGCCTTTCCTCTTTGAGGGATTGCTGAAGGCCGCCTTGGCCGCTGGCGGACAGTGCTGGTTCTGTCACAGGTCCGCTGGGACTGGAGGTTCTGGGAGACCAGGGCACCTCAGCCGCCAGCACAGCCATCTGAACAACAGAAAACAGGCACTCTTCACAGCCACATCTCTCCAGACCTTAAAGATTTCAGGTTGGAAAAAAGTTGAAAAGACCCAAGTTCCCAAAATTTATAACCACTGGCGTTCCCGACCAGTGTATAAATGCACAGAAAATCAGGAGCCCCGTCTGTGGGGTCAGCTGCTCAGGACCCCAGCCATCTCAGCACATCCCCAAAGTAGAGTCAGCCTGAAGCTGCCAGGTGTGGGCACTAGATCGTCCCACCCCATCCACCTTAGAGGCAGGACTGCCTTCCTCAGCTGTGCGGGTGAGGTGCTGGTGCCCATGTCGAAAACCACCAACCTGACGGCCCGTGGAGAGGCCCCCGCCATCTGGGGTCCCGGAGCTCTGATGTCGGGCGCGCGAGGGAGCCTGAGCTGGACCCTACCGGGCTTTCCAGGGGACGAGACAATCTCATGAAGTTTGTTTTTCGTCTCTCCAGACTAAAAGAACATATACATGAAACACTAGCGGCAGCGATGGAAACAGATTAGTGAGATGACAGGTAGAAAGCAGCTCTGGTGGCGCTGTGCTTAAGGTTTTCAGCTGTTAACCGGAAGGTCGGAACCCACCAACATTGGGGTAAGATGGTGGCCCAGCTCCATGAGGTCCATAGGACAGAGACGGCGGCCCGGCTCCACGGGGGCCACAGGACAGAGACGGCGCCCCGGCTCCCCTCCAGGGCAGGTCTGAGTCCTCCCACAGGCTGCTCGCAGGCAGCATTGATTGACTCCCTGAGCACGTGGCTTGGCGTTGGTCACAGCATAGCACACCACGTTCCATGTCCCCTCAGTTCCCATTGGTCTGGGGAAGTCAGCTCTGGATGAAGTGCAGTCAGAGTCTTGGTGCGTCCAGGGAGAAGTGGGGGTTTGCTGTCCTGACACACTGGTGTCTGCCCGGCGTAGGTGACCCGTCCTGGGTACAATGCCACAGCTGCTCACAGTCCGAGGCTGAGAAAGGATCACTCTGGCTGCCGATTCAGCCAAGCCCAGGCTCTAACCTTTTCGGAATCCGTGGAGGAAAGAATTTGTTCTCTTGAGGATATCTAGAAACCTTACTAAGACGTTTTCTTTCCATAGAGGCTGAAGGCAGACGGCTTACCAGCACCTGGAGTTCTGAACGAAGGTCTGCCCACGTTAGTTCTTGGTGTTGCACCTGCAGCCCCTCGGTTCTTGCAGTGTGATGAGACACCCTGTCTGTCCTGTCTCAACTGGTCTTTTTTTTTTTTTTCATAGTGTGGACATTGATTCTTCTCTGGGAAGATTTCCACTGGACATTAAGACTGTTGCCAAAATGCTGGCTTCTGTTACTAACAATAAAAAGTTGACAGCAACGTAGGACTCAGTCACAGTCTCACTTCTTCCCAGATTTGTGAGTGAGGAATCCCTGTGGGTCAAGTCCTCTGCGAGCGAGGTGCCAATGTTGACTTTGAAGAACCTCAGGTTTCTGTGATCGTCCAGGCTTCCTGTGAGGGGCCGCTGTCGGTCTCATAAAAGCAGTAGGACAATGTGTGACTGGAAGGGTCATTTTTATTCTTATTGGGGACTCGAACTCAGAGAATTCTGGATTGCACAGAGGCACAAATCACGCCATGCAGTCACCTCCTTGTGAAAATGCAAAGCTGTCTTTTGTCTACTTTAAAAAAAAAAGTTGACGGAAATTTTTGAAAATGGTGAACATGAGCCCCCATTGTGAGTGGTCTTACAGCCTGGTCTCCTCTGTGGCCGTCCCCACCCTGTCTGGAGGGGCCTCACCAGAGGCCCACTTCTCAGGCCAGCCATGTCTACTTGGGCCCTACTCCTTTTGTCCACAGTGATGGGCGGACACTGCTGCCCTGTCTGTGCCCAGCGCCCACTGTGGTCTCTCGGTGTAACACGTCGGCTTTCTCCCTGACATCCTGACCCTCAGCTGGACCCAGACTCCACAGCGCCCTCCACCCAGCAGCTCCTTGATGACAGATGTCCGCTGAGCCCATGACTCTAGGTGTGCTAACGGCTTTAATGAGAATCAGGCAGTGAACAGTGCCAACGAGAATTAACACGGCCGGGCCCAGCGTGTTAGGACTCGGGCAGCAAGCAGGGCGACAGGCTGTGCCTTGGACCTCACTCACAGAAGGAGGGCTTGCTGGCGTTGTAGCTGGGGTGGAAGTTGAGACGGTCGTAGGGGGTGATGTAGTTGCCAGGGCCCGTCACAAAGCTCTTCTCCATGCACACGTTGAAGGTGCTGTTCCGAAACATCCCAAATGCTGCCAGGTGTCGCGAGAATTTATTCCACGTCGGATAAAATACTTTCTGGAAGGAAAGAAGGCATGCGGGTTGGCAGAGCACAGCCAAACTCAGGCAGTCAGCAGGGGCAGGGGGTGGATTTCTGGAAGAAAGATCTGGAGCCATGTCATCCTTGGTGACAAAAAAACCAGGCTGGAGTCTAACACCGAGTCTGTGCAGAGACCACGCAGGACCCTGCCTGCTGTCTGGGGGTGGTCACCGTCAGTTGCTGCTGAGCGCTTTGGGACCCCCCCCCCCATGAGCCCAGGAACCAGAGACGGAAATGCTGCCGAGTCCTTCACCAGCCCTGTGGTCAGTGTAGACTGGACTATGTCAATAACGTAGTAACCCCTCCCCTGCTTTTAGCAGCTGTGTTACCCAGGGCAAGTCATTGGGCCTCTCAGAACAACAGTTTTCTTTGGAGTAGAGATAATATCTACATCAGTGTCTTCTGACTGACGGCTTGTTCAGTAGGTTAAGCATTGGGCTGCTACCAAAAGGTTGGTAGTTGAAATCCACCAGCCGCTGTCTATTCTGTTAAAGGTTTACAGCCTCAGAAACACTATGGGCAGGTCCACTGTGCTATGGGGTCACCGGGGGTCAGAGCTGACTCAGTGGCAATGAGTGGGTGCATGAGCTTCAAACCATCCTTATCTCCATGCAGAAAAGCCTGGGGGCTGGACCTGCTGAGAAGCAGGTTGCCAAGGGGTGTGGGGAGGAGCGAGGCCAGGGCACTTGAGTGCAAGCAGGAAGTGTCAGGGATGGTTCACAGTCAGGTGACCTCGAGGCCTGGACCTCTGCCAGCTGTGTCCTTAGACCACCAGGTCCCAGCACATCACGTGACATGTTGGGTGCTGGCTGGGAGTGAGGGAAAAGATGAATGCATGATGTCATTTCTTCACTTCCAGTTCCTCCTTGGGAAGGAAACACGAGTGAAGTCCAGGACCCACACTCAGTCACACACCTGGCCTCCACACAAGGCAGGCAGCCAGGAGGCACCCCCACACCCCATCCCTGTGCCTGGTGAGGCTGTGGAATGGAGAGCCCCTCGCTGATATCACGGACATTCCTCTCAAGAACCTATTCTAAGAACTCAAACACTCAGACCTGTGTCACTCAGCATGCAAGTCTTCTACTCAGACATCCTCAAGCTCTGAATCGTGGGGGTCCCGAGGGTGACTCTCAAGGACTCTAGAAATGACCAACTTTCAGTCAAACAATGGGCAGACTGCTAAGGTGATCAATAACCCAGGCAGGTGTGAACTCCTTAGACCAACCAACCACATCACAAGAGAGCAGGAAGGCAGGCTTTATCCAGTAAGACAGCCTGGCAACCAGGAAGGAGTAGAAAAGAGGAATGGATGGGAAGGATAAACACAGGCAGGAGGTAGGAGAGGGCTGCCCCATTGTGAGGACAACAATGAATGCTGAGCATCAGATGTGCAGGAGTGTTCACTGGAAAACTAATTTGCTCTGATAAATCACCCAAATCATAAAAGGTAACAAACAAAACCCCAAAAACCTTATTGCCTTATTTACAAGGCATAGTTTTGTGGCCGCCCCCCTTTCTCTCTCTCTCCCTCTCGCTCACCCTCTCCCTCTCCTTCACTCGCTCGCTCGCTCTCTCCCTCTCGCTCTCCCTCTCTCATGCTCTCGCTCTTGCTCTCCCTCTCACTCTCCTTCTCACACTTGCTCTCTCCCTCTCCCTCTCGCACTAACACTCACACTCTCGCTCTCCCTCTCCCTCTCTGTGTGTGAAACAGAGCCGGAGAACAGACTAGGGCCAACCTTTCAAGATGCTGTGACAAGTCAGAAGCATTCGACTGCTTATGGAAAGTTTGGTGGTTCAAAGCCACCAGCGGCTCTGTGGGAGGCAGACGAGGTGGTCTGTAAAGACCCAGCCCCAGCAACACCATGGCCAGTGGGTTCCACTCTCCTGTTGCTGGGGGTACGAGTCGGCAGTGCTGGGATGAGCAGCGAGTCTGGGCTCAGAGCGGTATCGTTAAATTCCATCCTTCATTGACGGCTCCCCTGCTTTGTTCTGAAAGGATTTGAAGTACCCTCTCCATCTTGGTGACCTGGGACCCCTGGGTTCACCCTCACTTCACCCCCAACCATGACACATTGCTGTTTCCACACCACCTTCCCCAGTGCCCTTCCGCCATGCTCCCCACTCACTGGCATTTCGTGCACGGTGGGGGCTTGGCCCCCATAAGTCTGGTTGCTGGTCCTGTATATGGAGGCCGGCTCCTTGGACCTGTCGGAGGAGAAAGACGTGGGACTCCTCATTGTCCTTTTCTAACTGCCCCCTTGTCACTCTCCGCAGGTGGCCGACACAGCTTCACTGGAAACACCCAACGGGGGGCAATGTGCCCACAGGGGTAGCCCCCACTTCTCTCCCCATGGCCCTACCTTGTCCACAGTGGTCAGAGATCCAAAGCACATTGTGAGCCATCAAACTATGTCCTTCCCGAATGACACGCTGAGATGTGAATCCCTGTACCCAAGAACTCAACTCTGTTTGCAACGGGGTCTTTGCAGACATGACTGTTTGTGTTACCGGGTACCCCTCCGCCTCCCCCAGGGTAGGGTCCTGATCCAGTATGAGCAGACAGAGAGAGACAGCGAGAAGAGGGCAGAGTGGGGGTGCACCTACACACTGAGGGCACCAAGAACTGCCCAGAAGCTGAAGCAGCCCAAACAGGTACCCTGTGGGGGGACCCTAGCCTCTGGGGTCGAGGCACCCACTCTGTGCTACTTGGCTATAGCAGCCCTCAGCCTGGAAGACTGAGCCTCTGGCAGTGCCCTCCCGGGAACCACAGGACATGGTGATGGGGTTTTGGCATGGTCAGTCTCACACCACTACCCATGGGTCTCTGAGCTTCTGAGCCCACCACACAGAAGCCATGCTCTTCTCACCAGAACAGATCAAGACGACACCCCCAAACCAAGCCCACCACTGTTGAGTACTGGCTCCCAGCAACCCAGTAGTCAGAGGACAGCCACGCCACAGGGTCCCACGGCTGTGACTCTATGGAAGGAGCTCCTTCCTCTCTCCCCCACTGAGTGGCTGACTGGCAGGTCTGAACGGCTAACTTTGGCTACCAGCACAATACGGCACCCACTGTGTCCGTGATCCCTGCCTGATTAACTGGGCAAGAGAGTTTCTTTCTACCTCACTTGCCTCAACTGTGAAACCGAGCAGCAGGAGTCCCGGCGATGGAGGTGCTGGCTTAGCACAGGGTCTCTGCGGACCACTGCCCCGGTCAGCACATCGCTGCTGACTCACAGCCACCCTCCATTACCTTTCTGAGGATGTAAATCTCAGGGGGGAGGCTGCCATCTTTCTCCCGAGGAGTGGCTGGCAGATTCAAACACACAACCTTTTAGTTCACAGTGTAACATTTAACTCACTGCAACACCAGAGCTCATTATTTATACAGAAGAGCGTCTGGCAACCAACTTCAGAAAAACAGCCAGGAAACAAATAGTTAAGGTGGGCGAAGGGAAAGGAGATACCTAAGTGGTGGACTGGTGTTAGGTGACACTGTGAACAGATCTGAACTCTGCTCTCTCCTGCGCCGTCCTCAACATCTCTGATACGCTGTGTCTCCTGTTCCAGTCCCTGGATCAATCTGCCTTCTTGAGGGTCTTCCTCTCCTCTGACCCTCCGCCTTTCCCAGCATGATGATGTCCCTTTCCAAGGACTGGCCCCTCCGGACAACACGTCCAAATTATGTAACATGACATTTCACCACCCTCGTCTCCAAGGAGACCCTGGCCACTCGTCTTCCAGGACAGACTCAGCAGTCCACGTTCAGTACTCCTCTCCAACACCACAACACAAACGCTTTGACTCTTCTGTCCTTACTCCATCATCCAACATTCAGATGCATAGGAAGCATCTGAAAATACCGTGGCTTGCACCAGGCACACTTTAAACTGGCCCCTTTGCCCTTCTGCACTTTGGAGAGGTCCTTGACAGCAGGTTTTCCCAACGCAACATGTCTTTTGAGTTCCTGAGTGCTGTTACCAAGGGTGATGACTGGATCCAAGTAAAATGAAACCAAGGGTTGATTAGACACTGTCATTTAGTAATTAGTTAGTCACTTAATTGTAATTAATGCTACAAAAGAAATTGTGCATGGATGACTGAATGCAAAGCCAATATGACTCATAAATGTTTACTAAGAAAAGTTAATTAATTTTAAAAGAAACCTAAGGCTCATAACAGAAACAGAGTGTTGTAGTGTCCACCTCAGGTGTTCTGGATGAGTCACTGGGGAATCAATAGCTAGGGAAAGATGTCGTGTTTGGTGGAGCAGGGACCAGCCAGGGTGAGGGTGGCGCTTGGCAAGGACGGGCACAGAAGCCCCATCTGTGTGGACCACTGTGGATGTGTGAGGATGACACAGGCCACGCTCCCTTCTGCTGTTCCGGAGGTGAATGGATAAGGTCAGTCACTGGAGGGTCCAAGCATCGTGACAGCTAGCTGGCCACAGGTCCCACCCATAGTCCCAGGCTGGAGCCTGGAAGGTAAGAGGTCTGAGCTGAGGGAGGAGAACTGACCCAGGGCACTGAACGGTGGCAGTGGGATCAGACGTGGGTTTTCTGAGCCTCTCCTGGGGTCCCTTCCTTCCCGCTGCCCTGGCGTACAGTGACCACTCCCCTCCTCCATCTGTAGCCAGCAGCAACAGCTTGCTGGCACAGTGGTTAAAGCAATCGACTGCTGACCAGGAAAGGTTTCTGGTTCAAACCCCTGGATGTTCTGTGGGAGAAGATATGGTGGCCTGCTCCTACAGTCTAACCTCTGGAGCTGTGGGCAACTGTGCCCTGTCTCCCAGGGTCACTATTCGTCTGGCACGGTCACTATGTATCTCCCAGGGTCACTATGCGTCCTCCAGGGTCATTATGCGTCATCTCCCTAGGTCACTATGCGTCCCCAGGGGTCACTGTGTGTTCCCCCAGGGTTACGATGCATCCTCCGGGATCATTATGTGTTCCCCAAGGCTCACTATGTGTCTCCGGGGTCACTATGTGTCCCCGGGGTCACTATGTGCCACGGCTCACTAAACAGCACTGGGTTGGGAACCATAGTTGTTAAACGAAAGGTGCCTTCCGAGGACAGACTGTGGGCGCTGGGGACCCCCCCCCTACTCACCTGTAGCCCCGAAAGCACGCGGGGTTGTTGAACCTGGCCGGCAGGTGCGCGCTCACGCGGTAGCAGTCGCTTGTCCTCTCCGGGGGCGCCCTGGCCTCCTCTGTGCCGGGGTCCACGCACTCCTGGGGGGCTTCCTGGGACATCGCTCCTCGGCCACGGGGGCAGTGAAGCTCAGACACCAGGCTGGGCAGTGACCGCACGCAGCGTCCCGTTGCTAAGCAACGGCCTGGTCACCTGACCCGGGAGGGACCTTCTTAAAGGAGCCGCACGCGCAGGTCAGGGCTGTGGTGGACAGTCCAGAACCTTCTGCGGCCAGGCGTGAAGGGCCTGGGCTCCTAGCGATAAAGTCCATTTCTGGGGTGAGCGGAAGCTGCGGAGCGTCACTGCTGGTCACAAGCAGCCAGGTTGTATTGAGAACGCTGTGCAAGGCGCGCTATGGGGGTCTTAGGGTCAGATTTGGGGTCCAGTGAAGCCCGAGGTCCTGGGGCATCCTCAGCAAATTGAAGGAAGGTTGTTCTGCTGGGGCGCTAGCCATGCAATAATTTGACGCCTGCTGTCCACACAGGGATGCTTCTTGGCCCAATAAAGTCATGCCATCCAAATACAGAATTTAAGCTTAAGTCTGAGATTTGGGAAACTCTTAAAATCTCTTAAAACCCAAAGTTTCTTAAAGCCAAAATGAGGAGAGACAGAGACAGTGTTGGTGGGGACGAGGGTTCCCAGCGCCCAGCGCCTTCCCCAGGCAGGACAGCTGTTGGAGGGGAGAAACCACAACCAGCAGTTTTGAAAAGTCAAAAAAGTAGTTTTATTCAAGACACTGGCGAAAGGAAGAAAAGACCGAGAAGGAAATGGGAATCAGCAGCTACACACTGTTTTGTTTTGTTTTTTTTAAAAAATGTAGGCTGTTAAGGTGACCTCCGTGTCTCCCCACACCTCGCTGACAGGTTCCTTGGATAGGAATCCGTCCTGCCAAGTCCCGAGGTGTTCAGACCCTGGGAGGAGGCCGAACGTGCGTGCTTTCGTCAATTCAACAGGCGAGTGAGCGATAGGAGAGAATTGCTTTTCCTCGGCCCAGTGACTGCAGCAGTGGCCTCACTGAGTCTATCGAGATGTGAGGATGGTACCGGCGGTCTGTTGGTCTTAGGGCCGCTCTGATGGTGCTCAGGTGGCCACTGCTAAACCCCTGGTGGGCGGTTTGAATCCATCAGCTGCTCTGTGGGAGGCAGACGGGCAATCTCCTTGTGGGTCTGTGATGTAAATGAAGCAGGCCTCGGTTAAGTGCTCCCCTGCTCTACAATGAGGCTGCTTTCACTTCAGATATTGCTCTAAAAAGAACCTCCCTAGGGGATGGGTAACTGACAGGAAACCAGCGAGGGAGGTGTTTTCCAAAGACTCATCTGACTTTTTGAATAGGCCATCTGAATTGGCGTTTTCTGCAGGGCCGAGCAGCGAGGGTGAGTGGTACACCTTGGTAGTTGACCTCCTGCCCCTGAGGCCTGCAGCCCCGATCAGGACCCGGCCCAGCCCCCCCTCACTGTCCACCGATCGGCGCGCCCTCTTTTTCTTTTTTGTTATGTCCACTGCGGCCCACGCTCCCGCACTCGTCAGCACCGTCTTGTCTTGAACTGGACACTGGACTTTCCCCAAGATCCCCTCGCCCTGCACCCTTAAAGCACCCCAAGATTCAGTCCCTCGCCCCCAAGCTCTCAGATCCCCTGCCCCGCAGTCCCCGCCCCCAATTCTGGACCCCCGGCCAGCGTCCAGACCTTGACCCCACCCCCGGGCTCTGGACACGCCCCACCACAGACCATGCCCCCTTCAGCTCTGACCACGCCCACCATGGTCTCCACCCCCGGTCTCAGGACACGCCCCCAATAGGTCACGCCCCACCACGACCACGCCCCGTCGCTGACCCCGCCCCTCAGGAGACACGCCCCGCCCACGACCACGCCCCTTCCCTGGACACGCCCCTCCACGCGCCGATGACCCACTCCTGCCCTCACCTTCTTTCCCCGTGCGTCTCTATGGTGCGGCTCTGGGCGCTGCACGGCGGAGAGCGCGCGCAGGGCACCTCCCGGCCTGTAGGTGGCGATGCGACCCGCCCGGCTTCCCCAGGCAGCGGAAGCCACTCGCCGGAAGTTCCGGGACTGCCGCCGGAAGTCCTGTCCGCGCGCCCGGGCCAGCATCAGACATGGCGCCCCCCGGGGTTGCGTTTCCCCGGCTACTCGGAGCGGGTGAGCGCACGCGGCCCCCTGTCCCCGGGCCGGGGCGAGGTGTATGGGGCGCAGGGCTCCGGAGCAGGCCGGGCGTGTGCGGAGATGTCTGACCTCCACGCCGCGCCTGCTGGGTGATCGGCCTGTGCGCTCGAGGGCGGGGGCGGTGGACGCGGGACCCCGGGATTGCAGGGCCAGCGTGTGGCGGGGCGTTCGGACAGCAGGTAGAGGGGCTTGGGCTCGGCGGCCCTCGGTGGCTGCGCACGGACACTCGGTTCGGGCAGCCGCCCTGACAGCTGCCCTTGACAGCTCATCTCGGCGCCCGCCGTCCGCTTCTCTCCTCCAGGTGCCCCGCCCAGCTCGCTCTGGCTGGATGTCCTCAAGAAGGCGACCCCAGGGGCCACCAGGCTAGGCTGCCGGCCTTTTGGAAGTGCTCCGACCCCAGCCATCAGCGAGCCGGACGACCACAGTGGTAACACCGGGCTCCTCGGGTGATCGGGGCGGAAGGCGGGGGGCGAGGGGGGTCATTTTGTCCCAGGAGCCCCGTGTGTCCTTGGGTTTGGGCGTAAATCCTGGAGGTGTCCCGATCAGGAGGGAGGGAAGGGGCATCTCCACCTGTGACGGTGGTGTTTCTTCCCAGCTGCTCCGTTCACAGTCCCAGCACCAGGTTACCTGTCCTAGTCCCAGCGCCTGCGGGCTTGGCTGGGGCTGCTCCGCTCTCACAGGCCTCTGGTCCCCGCTTTGGGCATCTTCCTCCTGAAGCCCGGGGCCTTAAAGCCCTCAGTCGTGACACACAAGGTGCAGGACTGGGACTTCCCAGCGCCTCTGTCCGCATCTAATGCAGAATTTCATCTCCCTGCCACTCCCCACCCAGTGAGCTCCTGTGGGGAATCCACTTTATTGAACTATTCCTGGTGGGCTTCAACCCTACCTAGGGGCGTCCTGGTTGAACACCTGAGCCTACTTGCCAGGAGGCTTTGGAAGGCTTAGAAACCAGCTGGGTCTTTTTTGCTTTCAGCTGTGAAATACGGGGAGTGTACAGAGATAGGTTTACATGAGAGTTAGGTGGTAGTCAGAATCTGACCTCAGTATTTCCTGCCATTGGGAGTCCAGTCCACAGCAGCTGGGGGAGAGCTGCCCATGGCGTGTCCAGTGCTGGAGGTCTCCATGGAAGCAGCCTTCCTCAGATTTCTCTTGAGGAGCCCTTGGCGGGTTCAGACTCAGCAGCTTTCAGATAGAGGCCGGGTGCTTTGTGCCCCAGGAGGCCTTGCTCTGGTCCTCAGTACCCTGAGATGAGGTGATGTAGAACAGGATCTGCATCAGGTGGGACTGGATGGGCCGCTCGCTCACCCATCTGTGACCCGTGTCTGGTGTGGGAGCCCACAGCACCCCTTCTCTCCTCTCTGCCCCAGACCTCAATGACAAAGTGCTAAGTGAGCCTCTCAAGCACTCTGATTTCTTCAACGTCAAGGAGTTATTTTCTATCAAAAGCCTCTTTGATGCCCGCGTGCACCTCGGACACAAAGCTGGCTGTCGGCACAGGTGAGGTTATGACCTGGCCATGGGTGTTGGTGGAGGTTTCCAGGAGGGGCTTGTTGTAATGAGCCCACGCTCTTGCCTGGTAGTATAGGACACATGGGAACTGGGGCCCAGGTGCCATACTTATCCTGTTGGCTTTGTGGCCAGGTCTGACTGTTGCGTGGACCCTGGCATGGGGAGACTTGAAAGGGGGGCTCTGGCTCGGGGAACTTGGAGGGCGAAGGTAGTGATTGTTCTGATGTTTGGAGGGAAAAAAAGTGATTTGGGAGTAAATTGTGGAGAGATGGAAAAGTAGGAGGGTATGATGAGGAGGGCACAGATGGATGGCAGTTTCCCAGACTCTGCCCTTTAGCGAGAATTGCGATGTGGTGGCAGTGTCACCCTCAGTGGACAGGAGCAGAGAGAACAGCAGCAAGTCACAGACATCTTCCTGAGGCCGAGCTTGGAGCCATTCAAGTGGAGATGTCACAGGCCCATAGAGGGATGAGCTGAGGCTGGGGACAGGATAGAAGTGGTCATCATAGAGGCAGAGTTTGAGACCATCAGAAAGGGAGCATCCCTGAGAATGAGCCTGGGTTCTCAGTATCAGGAAAGTGGAGGAGACAGCCAGGAGGGAGAGGGAAGGGTGTGGGATCCCTCGATGCTACTGCAAGTCCGTGTCCGTGTCCAAAGGAAGGGAAGGGCCCAGGCTCTGGCAACGAGGGTACTTGATGAGCTGTGTCAGGTGCAGTGAGTTCAGGAGGTGCGTGGGGGCCGCTGGGGTAGACTCACTTGCTACGTGTTGAGCAGGAATCAGTCTCATGCCTGCCGTCACTGCCGAGAATGGGAGTAGTTCTGCTCTAGGGGGCCCTCACCACACCTTCAGGTTGGAGACCCCTATGCCTTCAATCTGAACCCCCCCCCCCACTTCACTCTGGAGACTCCCTGGTCCTGTGCTTCAGCCTGCCCCCTCCCGTCAAACACCTTCAGTCTAGAGCCCTCATCCCTTTTGCTGGCCCCCTGATCCCAGAGGCGTGTTGCCCGTAAAACCTTGGAGACGGGAGAGGCAGTGGCTGCCGTGAGGATGGCACTGGGTGGAACTCTGACACTGTGTTTAAACTTCCCACGGTCTCTCCTGGGACCCAGATGGAGGCTCCGGGTCACCAGCGCCCACCCAGCTCTGCCGTCCACTCTGCAGACACTGGTGGGGCGCCCTGTGCTATTTCCGGTCCTGGGATTGGTGGGCCCCAAGGACCCTGGGGCTGTCCAGAGTGCACCCTCAGGAGCCTGGACCTGGGGGAGGGGGTCCCCGGTGGGGTGGGATGCAGACAGAGCTGACCTCTCTCCTCGCCTGGCCCACAGGTTCATGGAGCCATACATCTTTGGGAACCGCCTGGGCCAGGACATCATTGACCTGGAGCAGACAGCTAAGCACCTGCAGCTGGCCTTGAATTTCACAGCCCACATGGCCTATCGCAGAGGAATCATCCTGTTTATGAGCCGGAACCGGCAGTTCTCACACCTGATCGAGAACACAGCCCGAGACTGTGGCGAGTACGCCCACACCCGCTACTTCAAGGGCGGCCTGTTCACCAATGCCCCCTTGCTGCTCGGCCCTGGCGTCCGCCTGCCGGACCTCATCATCTTCCTCCACACGCTCAACAACGTCTTTGAGTCCCACGTGGCGGTGCGAGATGCTGCCAAGATGAACATTCCCACCGTGGGCATCGTGGACACCAACTGCAACCCCTGCCTCATCACCTACCCTGTGCCCGCCAACGATGACTCACCTGCGGCGATCCAGCTCTTTTGCAGACTCTTCCAGACAGTCATCATCCGGGCCAAGGAGAAGAGGAGGCAGGTCGAGGCCTTGTACCGCCTGCAGCACCCCAAGGCAACCGAGGGTCAGCGGCCAGGGCCCCAGCCCTCCCCAGGAGCATAGACCAGCGGGGACGGGAGGACAGTGGGCGTCTGCTTCCTTCTAAACACAGTCTGCTTCCCACCCCCGGCTCTCCAGGCTTTTCCAGCCATGTGGGCTCTTGGCCACGTAACTGGCTCTGAGGCGCCCTGGGTGTCCAGCAGGTCTCCCTCAGCCATGGTCCCTCTATAGACAGATGAGTGGCATGTCTGAGTCGGATAGAGTGGAGCCTGCTCCCTGGGTGGCGGTGCCCACTCTCTGGGTTCCCAAAGGAGGCCAGGGCAGCCCTCTGGCTGAAGGGCTCTCCTGGCTCCGGCCTGGTCTCTCCTCAAGTTTCACTCCTGAGTCTCCCCACTGGTTGGCTGGTCTGTGGGATGTTGTGTGTTGTGGCCCCCACTGGGCTGGAACAGAAATAAAAGTGATGTTTGTGGACACTTGATGCAAAATGTGGTCTTGAACAGCCCTGTTTGTCACGCACTCCCTTGGCCTCTGCTGCTCCTCTTTGAAAGGTTCTGTAAAACCCTGGAGTGCTGGCTCCACCCTCAGAGACAGCCCCGTCCCTATGCCCCCCAGTGTGTCCAAGCCCCTTAATGCTGTCTCCTGCGTTGAGCTCCAGAATCTATGATGGACAGGGAAGGGACAGGGCCACCTGAGGGGACAGGACCTGGCTCTTGCATCCTCCCTCGCCCCCAAAGCTAGGACACACCCAGAGGGAAGGAGTTGCAGATGAGGAAGTGTTTGTTTCCTTTTCTGTAAATCAGTGATCAAGTCCCTTGTCCCCACCATGCCCTTGAACTCTGAGGCCCCTCAGCCTGTGCACTCGGGCAGGTCACCATGTGGCTGAGGTTTAGTCCAGCTCCAGAGTCTACCTCTCGGGTGGAACCTTGGGGGTCCTTGAAATGGGGTGGCCCGTAGTCAGCCCACAGTCTGGGGGTGATCACTCATGAGAACCCAGGTGCCCCAGCATCAGTGGAGGCAGAGAGGCAGGTCCTGTTCCTTCAGCCCTGGGGCCCAAGAGAGAAGCTGCGTCCAGGACTGAGCCCAGGTGGTTCAGCCCGGGCTGCACTGCTAGTGCTGGCCAGGGGGTGGATGTGCGTGCGCCTGCCTGTGGAGCCCCCATCCCTGGTTTTTACTGGGGCAGTTCTCACCCTAAGTTGGCCGTTCCCATCTAGATTACAATTCCTTAACATTACCATTATGTGCACATCCGAGCTGGGACCTGGCAGTGGTGCCCTGAACTGGGCCAGGAATTGGATGGATGGGAGCAGAAAATGGCCCATGTTGCCCCTTTCCCCAGACCCCACTGTCCACCGAGAAAATGGGGGGTGAATGCGGGCGAAAAACCAGTCCAGGCAGTTCTGCATTACCGCGAGATTTGGGCCCAGGTGCCTACTTGGGTTAGCACACAATTCTTAGCCTCGTGTCTAGAGGGACCAGTCCTTGGGGGGAACAACGTGCTGGCAAAGGTGGAAGACCAGAGGAGAGGAGACCCCAACAAGACAGGTCAACAAAGTCAGTGACTGCGGGGCCTGAGCGAGCACATCAGAAGGGGGCCAGGGACAGGGTGGGGTAAGGCCCAGATCTGTCCATGGGCTCAGTCCTGATGTGCTTGGTACCTAACAACTTAGCAAGAGAAAGTTTGAAGGCCAACTGAAGATGCCACACAAGAAGGTGAGTGGAATGGCTGTCTCACGTGCAGCCCGTCCCTAAGGGAGCAAGGTTACATTAACTACAAGGCAAGTAGAGGTTGCCCTTCCCTTCCTGTCTACGTGAAAATAAAAGCACAGCAGGGGTGTGAAGTTCTGGGGACTGCCGGGAGTCTGAGAGGCCTGGCTGAGGTGACACGTGACCAAGACCAGAGAGCGACTGTGCCAGGGACAAGGCTAGGTGTGGCCATCGTGATTGGAGGGAGCTGAGCGGGAGGAGGGCAAGCCCAAATTAAGAATTGAATCTCCGTTTAAGGGTCCCTGCCCGCATTCCTCGGCTGAGCACTAACGTCTGCACCTTCTTTCCTGAGGTCGCCCAAGTCTTACCTCTCTGTGGCCCCATTTCCCCCCCTCCTCCCCCCAATCCTGTGCGCACACATTCTAGGAGCAGAGGTCTCTTCGTATCAGCTAATAGTTTGTTTCTTTTTTCCCCCCAGGTTCATAATTTATTGTACAAATTAAGCATCATTTGATGAGTTGACATTAGCTATTCCAGGTAAGACAAATTAGCAGAGAAGGTGCAGACAGTTTAGAATCCCATTTATGTTGCTTTCACAGCTGGAGTTTTTTTTAGACTTTAACTTGAGGTATAGAACAAGCAAAGCAATGCCCCCGTATGTGGCCAGTACACAATTCATTCTACCTGTGAGTGTATAAGAGTTGACGTATTTTTTAAAACTAGTGAACTGGACTTGAGCGTCACTTTCTGGACCTGCTGTGATTTTAATCTAGCCAAAGCCACAAGTTCCACAGCCTGTGTCCTTCAACGTCCAAAGCCGACCCTCGGCCCAGCCGGAAGATTTTGTTTCTTTTGGATGAACTCATGACTTGTTCCTCCAGCTTTTGTTCTCTTCACTCGGAGGATGACAAGCCTAAATTCAGTTTCTTACAAGGGTGCCCGCGTTGCTTCCCAGCTGCTTGAAGTTCTCCCGTCTCCATATTTGTGCATCATATTCATATTTGTGTCCATATTTATGTGACACTGGCCCATGGGCTTAACAGTGTTCTCACACCTGCTGATGTCCTGAGGACACAGATGCTAGAAAGGTTCCCTTTGGGTAAATGGGGATGTGGGGACACTGGGAGGCCCAGAAGTGCACCCACACTGGGTGATGGGGTGCTCTAAGGGGTCAGGAGACAGCCCAGCTGGGGTACTGAGTGGGCAGGTAGGGTGGTTGAGGAGCACAGCTGTGAAGCATTAATGGGTGAGCCCAGGAGAAAACCCAGGTGTGAGTAGTGAGGGGTGGTCAGCTGGCGGTCCAGGTGTGGGACGGAGGAGCGAACCGGCCAGTGCATTTTCAGTTGGCCTTCAAACTTTCTCTTGCGCTAAGCTGTAAGGTATCATGCGCATCTGCCAGGAGGTAGGAGGGATCGGATGACCTCTCCCCTGTGTCCTGTGGGGTGGAGGAAGTGGGTGGGGTCGGTGAACAGCTCAGGTAGGGGGATGAAGAGCTGGCCAGGACCTGGAGACAGCCTAGTTTTGGCAAAAATGCCCTTGTGTGGGTTTAATGGACGCAAAGGCAGCTGAGGTCCGGTGAGTGGGAGGTGGACATGGGGGGGGGGGCACTACAGTATGAGAAGTGATGAGAGGCCCAGGTTGGAGATGACCACCCTGGAAGGGTCAGGAGGCAGTCCAGGTGGAGGTGTTTCCATCCCTACCTTGGAGGACAGAAGAATCTGTGAGTTGTGGTGCTGGATAAGAGTACTGAACATCCCGTGGGTCACCACAAGAATAAAGTCTGTCCTGGAGAAGGTGAAAGCAGGGTGCCCTTTGGAGGCAAGGATGGCCAGACCCCCACGTACTCGGGGCATGAAGCCGGGGCGCACCAGCCCTTGGAGGAGGACATCATGCTTAGAAGGGCAGAAGGTCGAGCAAGAGAGGAAGAACCTCAGTGAGATGGACTGACACAGTGACTGTGGTGGTGGGGTCACAGGGGACAAGGTCAGAGCCGTTGTTTATAAGGTTGTTCTGAGTCACGGCCGACTCAAGGTACATACAGCCACCCGCACCGCCGTGGTGAGAGGTAAGCCAGACGGGCCAGGGAAGGTGCAGAGATGGGAGGATATTCACAAGCAGCTCGGAGATCTGGAGTTTTCCATTTTCATCTGCGTGACACTTTGTTGTTGTCAGGTGCTGTTGAGTCGAGTATGACTCACAGCGACCCAGTGAACCACAGGTGTGAACCCTGTCCGGTCCTGCGCCGTCCTCACAATCTCTGACAAACCCAAGCCCATAGCTGCGGTCACTGTACCAATCCACCTGGTTGAGGGTCTTTCTTTTGCTTTCTAACCTTTCCAAGGAACAGCTTCCAGCAACGGGTCCAAAGTGTGAATGAAGCTCTGCTGTCTGTGTCTCCATGGAGCACTCTGGCTGCACCTTCTCCAACACATGCCTGCTTGTTCTTGTCAGTCCATGGGACAGTCAATGCCCTACTGCAATACAACAGCTCAAAGACATCAATTCTCCTGTCATCCTTATTCACTGTCCCATCTCCCAGAAAGAAGCAAAGCAAGTGACTGAAAAGACGAAGGCCTAAATCAGGCACACCTTAGTCGTCAGACTGACATCATTGTTGGGAGAGGTCCCTGACTGCAGTATTTTCCAACACAACTAAGAGACACTAAAAAAACTAGCAAAAACAAAAGACCAGAAACTGGATAGCTCGACATAGTGATACCTGGGCCACAGCGGAGATCAGAGTCCAGGCTGGAGATACTGGGCACCCTCTTCAAACAGTTCGCCCACACACCCTCCAGGAGATACAGGATGCCCTCTACATACAGTTCCCGCTCAGCCTCCCACTGGAGTGAATCCTGCTCTTGGTGTAAGCGCTGAGCGTACCCATTGTTATGGTGGCAACACTTACATATAAGGAAAACAGAGCCTCACGAGACAGGAATTTTTTTCATTGTTAGTTTAAATTATAGGAAAGCGAAGGAAGGGACCTTCACAGCCCTAAACTGGGGGGACCTCTGCCTGGTCTTTCTCTTTTTCAGAATTCGTTCCTCGTGTCGTGCTTTCTTTTTCCGTCCAGTTAATAAGTGTTAGAATCAAATGGAGTTAGGCGTGATTCCATTCTGTGTCTGTAAGTTAGTATGAGACAAAGTTAACTCGACCTCGCAACAAGGAACAATTGAGAACAAAATATTTTATTTCTCTCAATAAAACTATAGTTTACAGTAGTATTTACTGAATAAATTATATATTTCCTCTTTTACAGGCAATAATCTAAATCACGGATATTTCAAAGACAACATATGTACACGACATAAGGCCTTTTATAAATAACTTTTCTCATTTCACTAGTGAACAGTGAA